GAATCAATAATAAACTACTCGGGCCCTGACCGGTTTGGCTCAATGGATAGAGCGTCAGCCTGCGGACTCAAGGGTCCCGGGTTCGATTCCGGTCAAGGGCATGTACCTTGGTTGCGGGCACATCCCCAGTGGGGAGTGTGCAGGAGGCAGCTGATTGATGTTTCTCTCTCATCGATGTTCCTAACTCTCTATCCCTCTCCCTTCCTCTCTGTAAAAAATCAATAAAGTATATTTAAAAATAAATAAATAAATAAACTACTCGGGAATAAATTCCACCAAAATGGTGAAAGGTCTGTACATTGAACTCAAGACAGTGATGAAAAAATGGAAGAAAACACAAACAAATGGAAAGACATCTGTGCTTTAGGATTTCAAATTTAATACTCTTATAACGTCTATCCTACCCAAAGCAATCTACAGATTAAATGCAATCCCGATGATAATGTCAATGGTATTTTACAAAGAAATAAAAACAGAATCCTGAAACGTATGGAACCAAAAGACCTGGAAGAGCAAAAGCAAACTTGAGCAAGAACAAACCAGGTGGCATCAAACTTCCTGACTTTAATCTATTACAAAGCCAAAGCAACCAAACAGTGTGTTACTGGAATAAACATAGAAACACAGACCAACAGAACAGAACAGAGGAGACTGAAATAAACCCAGGCACATACATTCAAGTATCCTTTGACAAAAACCACAAGACACATAAGAAAGAAAAGATGGTTTTTTCTGGTAAAAGTGCATATTCACAGGTAAAACAACAAAACTGGACACCACTGAAAAAAAATAAACTCAAACTGCATAAAATAATTAAATGACAATCCCCAAACTGAAAACTACTTCAAAACAACCTAGAGAAAAAGCTTTGGACATGATTTTCTGAATGTGACAACCACCACCAGGCAAAGAGGGCAAACTAAACAGTCTAAACAACAACAAATGAAAAAGCGTCTTCACATCACAACAGCAACTAACAAAATGATATTAAAAAGGCAATCTAGCTATAACCAGTTTGGCTCAGTGGATAGAGCATCGGCCTGTGGACTGAAGGGTCCCAGGTTCGATTCTGGTAAAGGGCACGTACCTTGGTTGCGGGCACATCCCCAGTAGGGGGCATGCAGAAGGCAGCTGATAGATGTTTCTCTCTCATGGATGTTTCTAACTCTCTATCCCTCTCCCTTCCTCTCTGTAAAAAATCAATAATCACATATGTAATACCCTTTGTAATACTTTAAGCAATAAAAAAAATCAATAATCAATAAAATATATTTAAAAAAATAAAAATAAAAGGCAATCTAGCCCTGGCTGGTTTGGCTCAGTGGATAGAGCATCGGCATGTGGACTGAAGGGTCCTGGATTCAATTCCGGTCAAGGGCATGTACCTTGGTTGCAGGCACATCCCCAGTAGGGGGTGTGCAGGAGACAGCTGATGGATGTTTCTCTCTCATTGATGTTTCTAACTCTCTATCCCTATCCCTTCCTCTCTGTAAAAATTAATAAAAGTATATTTTAAAAAGAGGCAATCTACAGGATGGGAGAAAATACTTGCAAGTCATATGAACATATTGCTTGGAGATGTTGTGGATTCAGTCAGATCTCTACAAAAAAGTGAATATTGAGATATAGAAAGAAATTCTCACAAGTATTTGGAGTTCCAATTAAATAATAAAGACAAGGTAACACTATACTGCAGGCTAATAAAAACACAACTACTCTGTGTGAAAAATACTTTATCAGTACAGAGTTACAAGCTCAGGGAAATTCAGAGACCTAAAGTGACCGCAAAGGATGGTCTGAAATTAAAACTTTCTAACTAAAAGTAGTTAATGACAGCCAAAACCGGTTTGGTTCAGTGGATAGAGCATCAGCCTGTGGAATGAAAGGTCCCAGGTTCGATTCCGGTCAAGGGCATGTACCTGGGTTGCGGGCACATCCCCAGTAGGAGGTGTGCAGGAGGCAGCTGATGGATGTTTCTCTCTCATCGATGTTTCTAACTCTCTATCTCTCCCTTCCTCTCTGTAAAAAATCAATAAAATATATATATTTTTAAAAAGTAGTTAATGACAGATAGACATGTCCCCAGCTGGAATATTCAACAACAAAAGTGAATCTTTACCTTAACTGAACCTGACTCTCTGTAAAAAATCAATAACATATATATTAAAAAAAAAAAGTAGTTAATGACAGATAGACATGTCCTCAGCTGGAATATTCAAAAACAAAAGTGAATCTTTACCTTAACTGAGCCTGATTATCATCTTTTGCATTTATGATAACATCCCTTTGGAATGTCAGAGTAACTGCCCTTTTAGGGATTCCTCAGGGGCACAACCAAATGCACCATAGAAAAGACTACAAATACTCTCATTGCTATTTTCATCATATTAATATTGATTATTATTGAATATCCTGTACCCAACTATGTAAAAGATTTATCATTTTACTTTTTTTTTCATTTTACTTTTTATCCAATACCAGATGTAGCCCCCCTTTGCTCTCTTCTGCCTACTTAATCAATCACCAATGAATTTCATGTAACCCAGCTATGTCTGCTCTTTTGATTGTAATGTATCAAATAAGATTCAAAACTGCCATTCTCTGGAGCATTATATCAATGTCTTGAGATTTTGCTTCTTACAAACTGTTGAAAGTGTGGACCAAATAAACTCACTAAAATTATTTCCAGGTTTGAATATTTCTTATATTCACACTGGTCAACAGCATCTGAGCCTGCTGGAAAGATAGCCACACTAAACTTCCTGAATGCAGGATTGCCAAAAACATTGAATTTGTAAAAACAAAAATACTACCAAGCCCAGCTGTGGTGGCTCAGTGAATTGAGTGTCGTCCCATGGACCAAGAGGTCCCAGGTCCATGGACCAGGATGTCCCAGGTTCAATTCCCAGTCAGGGCACATGCCTGGGTTACTGGCTCCATCCCTAGTAGGGCGTGTGCAGGAGGCAGCCAATGAATGATTTTCTCTCATTATTGATGTTTCTATCTCTCTTTCCCTCTCCCTTCTTCTCTGAAGTCAAAAAAATATATTAAAACCAAAACAAAAAACTCTCAAAATATCTGCAAAGCACAATTAAGCACATGCAAAAAGAAGAGGGAATACTTGTATGTAATAAAAATTTAATATATAAAATATAGAAGGTATTCAACAGACCCATTAACCAAAAAATATGGTTAAAAAATAGGCTAGAAACATTAAAGACAAAAAGAGAATCTTAAAGGTAGCAAGAGGAAAGAAAACTGTAAGCTACAAAGGAGTTCCCATAAGGCTGACACCTGATTTCCCATCAGAAACTCTACAGGCCAGAAGGGAATGGCATGAAGTACTCAGGTAATGGAAAGCAAGGATCTGAGACCAAGATTACTATATACAGCAAGGCTATCATTCCAAATAGACGGTCAAATAAAGAGCTTCCCAGACAAAAAAGGCTCAAGGAGTTCATCACACTAAAGGAGTTCATCACCACCAAGCCAGCATTATGCTAAAGGGATTGCTATAAGGGATTGCTGAGAAGAAGAAACAGAAAAAGAAACCTAGCCATACAGAATTAAAATGGCTATAAATAAGTATCTCTCAATAATAACTCTAAATGTAAATGGTTTAATGCTCCAATAAAAAGGTGTAGGGTAGCTGAATGGATACAAAAACATGACCCAACTTTATGCTGTCTATAAGAGACCCACCTCAAAACAAAAGACACACACAGGATGAAAAGTGAAGAGATGGAAAATAATTTTCCATGCAAAAGGAAAACAACAAAAAAAGCTGGAGTACCAATACTCATATCTGACAAAATAGACTTTAAAAGCATCATGTTAAAAGAAATAAGCTAGTTGGAGAAAGATAAATAACATATGATCTCACTCATTTTTGGAATATAATGAACAACATAAATTGATGAACAAAAGTAGAGTTAGAGGGTAAAAAATATTCTACAATATAATAGAAGTAATCCAGTTATTTGCAGATTTTTAGTATTTCCTACAACTTTTGTGATACAATTTTGGTAATATTATTATAATTATTCTTGAATTATAACTATTATATATATGGTCATTTTTCTTGAAGAATTGATGTTTATTGCATGTAACATTATTATATTTAAAATCATTTTTCTTGAAATAAAATAAAATAACTGAAAGTAAATAAAAAATAGGCTAGCCCGGCCAGCATGGCAGAGTGGTTGAGAGTCAACCTATGAACCAGGAGGTCAGGATTCGATTCCTGAATAGGGCACATGCCCGGGTTGTGGGTTCGATCCCCAGCAGGGGGCGTGCAGGAAGCAGTGGATCAATGATTTTCTCTCATCATGGATGTTTCTCTCCCTTCCTCTCTGAAATCAATAAAAAT